AGTTGTAGAAATTATGTCTGAGGTTTCCAATTGATGGAGTGTAAACAACTTACATCTGTCCTGAAAACTGTAACAATGAGTGGGCAGGAAAAGCATTATTCCTTATCTGGAGATTAGCATCTATTCAATCATTGGATCATGTATGACCAGACTTGTATTTAGAAGCTGCTGAAACTGGTAGTCTTCACAAAAAAAATAACCTCTGCTCAGTGATTAGTTTGTATTGTCACTTCGTGTGCTCTAAATTCACTGTCAGGAGTAGCAGGAAATGCTGTGACTGATGTATCTAAAGACAGATGTCACTTGTACTAGAACTGTTTAAGCAGTAAAAAATATGCATGAACGACAAACAATATGATATAAAACGACTCTAAATATTTTTTTAAAGCAGATCTTACCAGAAAAGGTTCAGCCAAAGCCCCAAAACATTCAGGTGGAAGGATTTGTTTCTGGATAGTTTTTTTGGGACTGGAATGTAAACGGATAAGAGGATTATTAGTGTTTTGCACACATGCACACAATGAAAATAATAATAATAATAATATTATTATTAGTAGTAGTAGTAGTAGTAGTAGTAGTAGTAGTAGTAGTAGTAGTAGTAGAAGTAATAGCAGGAGCAGTAGTAGAGAAAGAAAGAAAGAAAGAAAGAAAGAAAGAAAGAAAGAAAGAAAGAAAGAAAGAAAGAAAGAAAGAAAGATCACATAGATAAAGATATAGAGATCATAAATAATAAAACATGTATTATTAATAACAATAATCATTATTATTAGTAGTAGTATTACTATTCTTATTTGGTATATTTTAGTTATCAGAAAGATGCAGATTGCAATATATGTAAATTCAAAATGATTAAAATGACACACTCACATAAAACTGAATTATCTCTTGTGGAAATGAATGCAATCCTTGAACGGCCCCTAATTAGCAACAAATACAAGACATCATTTACTAAAGAGGTAAATAAAGCTACAACTGCATCAAAGCATCAAAAGGGAACTACATTTATATGTAAATATGAGAGGTGGAGAGGAAGGGAGAGAGGAAGATATCTATATTTAGAGACATGTTTGAGACAATCAAAGAAAACTATTATCACAACAATCCTGAACACGATTCATCTTTATTAAAAACAGAATTGAAGTAATGTGGAGGAAACATGCAAATGGTGGAATGCTACATGGACATTATTTATAAACAGGTAACACTACATGACATCCAGGAATTAGCAGGATTTCCATAATAGAGGGCAGACAAGTTGTGGACCGAAGTGCAGCTGATAAGAGGTGTCTGTGTTTCCAGAGGCTTCCTTTCCTTTGCTGGCTTGCTGAGTATAAAGAGATGTCGCTAATCTTTCCATGTGGTGCACCTGCCCTGCTCCGCTCTCTGCTCTCCCCTCTTGTGTTTACTGTCAGCTGCCCAAGCCCTCCAGCTACTGTACACTACTTCACCTCTCTATACAGCATCATCTGCTCCAGCACTACTCCAAACAGAACAATGCTAACCCCAGCAGGGAGGGGCCCCATGGAGCCAGGTCACCCCTGGACTCCCAGCCCTGCCTGAATCAATCAATGAATCAGCAGACGGCTCCTTGTAAAGCAGAAAGAAGTGAGATTCAGATACAGTGTCTACAGCAAATACTTTGTACATGCCAACATCACCACCACAGTGCATATTGTTACACTGTGACCAATGACACTCTTCTTAGAGCACGGAGGAGATAAAAAAAAAGTAACTGTCATTATAGAAAGAAAGAAAGAAAGAAAGAAAGAAAGAAAGAAAGAAAGAAAGAAAGAAAGAAAGAAAGAAAGAAAGAAAGAAAGATTATCGGAGGATAGATAGGCTGTAAATATAAATCTGTTTTAAAAACAGAATTAAAAGTTCTCACAAGAAGAGAGAAAGAAAAAGTAGAGAGTGTGTAAACAAAGGAGTTAAAAGCTTTCATGAGAAGTAGGGAAGAAAAAAAAGAAAGAAAGAAAGAGAAAGAAAGATATACAGATTATTTCATAAATAAAAAGAAAGAAAAAATATATATTACATATAGAATAGAGACAGTCTAAAGAGTTAAAAGGCTCACAAGAAGAGATAAGGAAGAAGAAGAAGAAGAAGAAGAAGAAGAAGAAGAAGAAGAAGAAGAAGAAGAAGAAGAAGAAGAAGAAGAAGAAGAAGAAGAAGAGAGAGAGAGAGAGAGAGAGAGAGAGAGAGAGAGAGAGATACAGAAAAAGAAAGAAAGAAAGAAAGAAAGAAAGAAAGAAAGAAAGAAAGAAAGAAAGAAAGAAAGAAAGAAAGAAAGAAAGAAAAGCTCAGGACTGATTCCAGACACATATATCTCTACAGATGATCAGACTGAGCGATGCTGTAAATAAATGTGTACAGGAGTTGGAGATGTCAGGCTTCTGCAGAAAGGAGATGATTACAGTTACAAGTATATGTAGAAGAAATAAATAAATAAACAACAAAGATACAAAAAGTTGAGAAAGTTACAGAACATACAATATATACTCCCTAAGGCCGGCAGTGTAATGATATGGAAATCCATGAGATGAGAACAATAGGTTGGGGTGATGGATGGGGCAGTGATGAGCAGACTCGGGGTGTCTATTGTCAGTCCGGAGTGCCCCATCCTCGGGGGATTTGGTGGTCAGTGTGTGTTGGTGAATAGAGAAGAAGCATTTGGTCAGAGGCCGGCTCTCCCCCCTGTTACCCCCCTCTCTCCCTCCCAGGCACGTGTCTCCAGATCTAGCAGATTGCCTCCATTCTTCTGATGAATAGATGAAGGTTAATCTGCATAGCAGAGGTGAGGCAGGGGCTGGCCCGACTCTATCCCCGCTCCTGCCCCGGACACAATGACTGCGGTTATTACTCCACAAACACATCCACCTTATGTCTGTACACAGAGCTTTCCTTCACAGGGAGACACTAAAAGCTCCAACATATGGGACAACGTCCACTATTCTGCTTTCCACAGGAGCCTTGTACTCTCCTAATGACTGCATTGCCCTATGGTGGTCCAGTAACCTTGTACTCTCCTAATGACTGCATTGCCCTATGGTGGTCCAGTAACCTTGTATTCTCCTAATGACTGCATTGTCCTATGGTGGTCCAGTAGCCTTGTATTCTCCTAATGACTGCATTGTCCTATGGTGGTCCAGTAGCCTTGTATTCTCCTAATGACTGCATTGTCTTATGGTGGTCCAGTAACCTTGTATTTTCCTAATGACTGCATTGTCCTATGGTGGTCCATTAGCCTTGTATTCTTCTAATGACTGCATTGTCCTATGGTGGTCCATTAGCCTTGTATTCTCCTAATGACTGCATTGTCCTATGGTGGTCCATTAGCCTTGTATTCTTCTAATGACTGCACTGCCCTATGGTGGTCCAGTAACCTTGACCACTAATGCCGGCCATACACATAATGATAAATTACTGGTGAGTCGCAGATCTGATCGTCTTGAAGCCACACTGTCACCAAAATATAGAAATGTAAGTCAAAAGCATTGTGTAAGGGCCCATTCCCACGGATCTGTTACATTGCGATCAGCTGCATTGTGATCCGGTAATGGAAGGGCCCAGAAAAGTGAATGGGATTAGTTCACATCGCTCCATTCCGTGGCGTTACATTGTGCTGAAAAAAGTAGAACATGCAATACTTTTTTCAGCGATGTAGCAGATCCGGTGTGAACTAGCCCCATTCACAACCTTCCATTTTTCGGTGCCCTTCCGTTAGCATCTGCTGAAAAATGGATCGCAACAAAATGGATCGGAAGGTACAATTGCAAGTCAACTGACCCTCCATTGACACGATTTCCATCCGATTTTGCTGTGAATGGGCCCCAAAATAAGGGTGCCACCCAATTGTCCGGTCTTCCAGAGCTTTACCGGCCAGAGAACCTTTATCATCGGACACGACTGGGAATGTCAGACTCTGGCCTCCCCTGCTGAAGGCTGTGGTTCCTCCTGCCGGCCGCTATGTCATTACAACTCTTCTAGGACACACAGCTGCTGGATGGAACCACATCATACAGCGGGGGGGCCCAACATCGGACACAGCCGGAAGTGTCAGGCCATGAAGGGTCTTTGGCTGGGGAAAGACACTTACGTATGATTCCTCTTCTCTTACAGACTCTTTATCGCAATGAATCATTTTTGTGGCAACAAACTTTTTCTTCATACAAATCAATTTGGTGAAATCCGTTCAATTTTCTGCTAGGACAGATCTTCCCTCTTCTTAGATGAAAGCCGCCGTTCATCAAATCAATAGTAGAAGAGGCACTCCAGCTGTACAAGTCCCATGAGGCATTGCAAGACTCTGACAGCCGCAGGCTAGCGGCATGATGGGATTTATAGTGTCACCAGAGCCGGAGTGTCCAGGTTGCCTGGAATCATTCATTGAAGTGATCTTTATTTGGTACAATCACATTGTTACCTGTGATGATAAACGATCGATATCGAATGTGAAAACGCTCATCTGACATAACAAAGTTCAATTTGGTCAATTTTAATTGGTTTTTCCTCCACCCAATCCATGGGAAATGTTTTGTCGATTCAACAGCCCACCTTGTGTCATGGATCAGCTCTTGTGTCATGGAACGATCCTATTGTCATGTGTATGGTGAGCAGTGAAGCAGATTGGGGACAGGCTGCTCTGGAAGTGGATTTCCATCATTTATGACTTTCATGTGTCTCAGTGAGATGTCATTTAACCCTTGGAGATCCATAGACCTCCCCATACACCTCCCTCTCCTGCACAAACTTGTAGACTGTCAGCTCTTCAGGCAAGGCTCGCTATACAATTGTACCAGATCGGAGATGTGTCTCCGATCGCTGTGTCGGTCTCAGAGTGGGTGTATGGAGAAGTGATATCGTTATGCAGTGTTGGGATGACAGCACACACAGGTCCCCTCTGATCGGATCTCCATAGCTCTGTGATTGGGGACAGGCTGAGGACACAATGGCTGGGAGAAGTGTGTCATGTCCAGCTCTCTCCTCCGTCCTTTGTGTGGATGGCGGGTCAGCCCCGACACCCCCGGGAGAGAGGCACGTGTGCCACACCATTGAAGGGCAGTCAGGCGCGAGAAGGGGCGGGGCCGGGCGTGTGCCTGCAGCCTGAGAGGCGGGGGCTCAGGTACATCTGCCGCCTCGCTCTCAGTTTGGACTCCTTGCAGCAGGCGCTGTCCAGCCCGACTCGCCCGGTGAGCAGAGAGTACCTGGATCGCAGCTTCAGCCTGGGCTCCCCGGTGTCCGCCGAGTCCTTCCCGTCCCTGATCAGCTCCATGGAGCCCATGCTCTACCCACCCACCGACCTGAAGATGGGGGGCAGCCTGCCGTCATCCTCATCCTCCGGGCTCCCCATCAAGAGGCCGGCGTCTGTTCACCCCAAGGCGCCCGCAGCCAAGAAGACCAAAGCCATCCGCAAGCTGACCTTCGAGGACGAGGTGACCACATCCCCGGTGCTAGGGCTGAAGATCAAGGAGGGTCCGGTGGAGCGTCCTCGGCCCCCCGGCTCCGGGCACAAGCCGCTGGGTGAGTTCATCTGCCAGCTGTGTAAGGAGGAGTACAGTGACCCGTTCTCCCTGGCACAGCACAAGTGTTCCCGCATCGTGCGGGTGGAGTACCGCTGCCCCGAGTGTGACAAAGTCTTCAGCTGCCCGGCTAACCTGGCATCGCACCGCCGCTGGCACAAGCCCCGGCCCCCGCCCACCGTCCCAGCTAAAGAGGAGCCGCTCAGCGACCGGGACACCCCGAGCCCCGGAGTCTCCGAGTCCGGCTCTGAAGACGGCATGTACGAGTGCCCGCAGTGTGCCAAGAAGTTCCGCCGCCAGGCTTACCTGCGAAAACACCTGCTGTGCCACGCCCCCGAAGAGTTGCTCTACCCCGAGGAACGGAGCGCCAAGAGCCCCGGGCCGGTCAACCTCAGCAACAACAGCGGCGAGTGCTACCCGTGCCCGGTGTGCGGGGAAACCTTCCCTGGCAAGAGCAGCCAGGAGCGTCACCTCCGCCTTCTCCACTCCTCCCAGCTGTACCCCTGCAAGTACTGCCCTGCCACCTTCTACAGCTCCCCCGGCCTCACCCGGCACATCAACAAGTGCCACCCCTCCGAGAACAGGCAGGTCATCCTGCTGCAGGTGCCAGTGCGCCCGGCCTGCTGACCAGCCCAAAGACTTTGCCAGGGACTGGGAGGGAAGGGTGAAGGTGCCAGGGCTGCCCAGATGTACAGGTTGGGCACTTCTGAGAGGGCACAACCCAGCTTAGTCCACAGGGTGCTGCACATGTATTAGCCCTTCCAAAGGGGGGGACCTCTTGTGAGTTGTGACTGGGTGCCCTCTCCGTGCCCTGCAGAGAACTGTGCCTTCTTTGATGCAACCGATGCCATCTCTAGAGACATGAGGTCTGCCAAACCAAGACAAGCATTGTAGCAGCCATAGATTGAAGTGCATTAAAATGTGGTTATTGTGCTTTAAAGCCAGACAGCATTACTTCTCATCTCCAAAGGGGAGGCAGCACACGTGTGGCCCCATCGCCTGCTCTCTTTTTTATTCATTGGTACCCATTGCTGTGCCTGGTTCTTAAAGGGGACACGCACTCTGAACCCACTGTGTACCAAGTAAGGACTATTAGCAGCATCCAAGCAATAATGTTCACCGTCTGTGACGTTTCCAAGCACTATCCGGGGGCCCCTTTTTTTTAATCATTGATATTTGCACTGGCGCAGGGCCGAAGGGGGAACATTATTGCTTTCTGCTAAGACCTGTGCTGTCCTCCCCCCTGAGAACACAAGTGATGCAAACATGTAATAGTGTTGTCTCTGTGTCTTTTCTGTTATTTTATAGGTCTGCCAATGGGCATGATACTGGCATTCCGAGGAT